CTCATAGGAGTTTGTGGAACCTCGGCTCCTAGCAGACTCCCAGCGTCAGTCAGTGCTGCTCCCCTACTAGAGAAGAAATTGTAGAGCTGGTTCCCTAAGCCTATCCCTCTTCTTCCAGGGGCCCACCACAGAAGCTTGCTGCACTTCAGCTGGGTACGTTTGTGCACATATACACACCCCCACCCCCACCCCCACTCCATTTCCCTCTCCCTTCTCCCACATGCTCAGCCTCTCTCTATTCTCCCTCCTCCCTCACTCCCCAGCTGCGCACTAGTACCCCTTTATAGGCCTCAGTGTAGCCCAGCCCTCCTCAAGTAGGTCCTTCCCCCCTCTTTTCCCGTGAAGCACCTCTGGTATTTTTTTTTAAATGACTACCTGGTAACCCTGGCAGTGATCCTATCCCTGTGATTACCACAGAGATTTAAACTGAGAAGCAACTTGCCTCCCCCCCTTGATCCCCTCAGCCCCCATACTTACCTCATTCTGCAAGGCTGACGGCTCAACAACTTTGGTCTCCACTCTCTCCCCCTTTTCCCCACTCCATTTCCCTCTCCCTTCTCGTACATGCTCAGCCTCTCTCTATTCTCCCTCCTCCCTCACTCCCCAGCTGCGCACTAGTACCCCTTTATAGGCCTCAGTGTAGCCCAGCCCTCCTCAAGTAGCTGGATTGGGCTCACCTGCTCCAATTCGAAGCCGCGATTATTTTAATCGCGGCTTCATTTTCCTCTGCCGATCTGTCTAATCTACATGCCTCCGTCGACGGAGGCATGTAGTTTAGACGTACCCATGTTGTCTTGAGGAAATGTTTATATCTGAAACCAGGACAAAAAATTAACCCTTAATCAGCCACAACCTATTTTAGTCCATTCATCATTGACCACTTTTCTTTACTAACAGCACATATATCCAATATGTGTTCTTTAGAAACATTATAACTACAACTGAGTGATTTTTATCAAACAACTATTTCGCCCAAAAATGCAGATTTGGGTCAATGAAGCATTTAAGAAATTTGTGCTGAATTTGCCAAATTGTTTCATGCCTAAATAATTTTTTTTAATCAAAATGTTTTCTTTCAACGTTTTCAAAAGAAAATGATTTGATTTTCAATTTGAAACAACATTTTTTAAAAACTTTTGCTTATTTTGTTTCTCAAAAATAGCTAAAAATCTCAATGGAACGGTAATGGGATGTATTCACCCCTTGTTAGTGCACCATGGTCAAATCAATGGGAGTTTTTCAGATTATTTGCATAGGAAGGTCTAACTCCTCTAGTGTGTTTCTGAAAGTGTCTAGTATCATATAATCACTACAGTTATAATGACTGTACCATACCATATGATCACAACCAACTACAGGTTCCACCTCCCTAAACCAGGGCACTGATCCATCAACATCTGTGGTCCAGCAGGTCCGTGCATGTTCTCAGATCAGAGAGACCTGGTGTCCAGGAGTCAGGCAGATGAAAGGCTGGCAACTGGGAGCCTTGCTTGGCTGGGAACCTGGCAGGGCTGGCAGCAGCCTGGCAGCAGAGCCGGGGTAGGGCCAGTGCAGCCCGGCAGGGGATCCAGGGCCACGGCAGCTTGACGGGAAAGCCGAGGCTTCAGAAGCCCAGCAAGAGAGACAGGGCCAGAGGAGACTGGTAGGAGAGCCAGGCCTGGGGCCATGGCAGCCCAGCATCTAGCTGAGCTGGAGCCAGCAGCAGGCAACCTGGTCAGGGCCAGCAGCAGGGTGACCTGCTGGGGTCAGAAGTGGAGCCAGCACTGGGCTGGGGGTGCTGTTGTCAGGGAACCTCTCCTGGTCTGGGAAATCCCCTTGCTCAGGCCTGGTTAGGTCCCTAAGGTGCTGGACCAAGGATGTCCAATCTGTTGCTTTTTATGTCATTATTATTATGTTTCACAGAAAAGCAGAGACAAGGGTAATGATACATTGTAATTAGTAAACAGTGTATTGGGTATCCATTACTCACAACATAAAGCCAAAAGAGAACAGCTAATGCTATCAAAGAAATGAATGTGCACAAAAATATTAACATGAGGCAGTGGTATTAAAATGAAAGAGATAATTAAGGTAAAGAACCATTTTACTCTAATACATACAGATAATGCACAACATTGATTTTGGGTTTTGACACCTGGAGTTACAGCAGTATCCCTGTCTCATGGAAACAACCTCTTGCTTCCACTTCCTCTTTTTGTATATTGCCTACATAGAGATTACAATGCCACTAGGAATACAGCAATGGTGCCACTGCAACTAAATTAAAATATTTTGAATGTTGTCAGCAATAAATGAAATTACAAACTAAAACAAACCAACAAACCTATCATTTACAGGCTAAGTAGTGTTGCAAAAGAACAGAATACAAATGGAAGGGAAGCAAAGCCTCTTAATGTACAGCAGTGACTCCACAGTTTATCCCCTACTAATTTGGTTTTAATGAGGTTATTATGGCTGCTATCAATAAGGAGGAAGGACAATAATTTGGTACTTTGAGGGAGTGTGAGGCTCAGAACCACACCATTTCTTAACTGAATAGCCTTGAACGTAATCCAGGATTACTCAAATGCATGAGAGTTGTTAGAAGACTGGAAACAACTTCCCTAGCTCTGCCTTTATATTGTAACTATCCTGGTATCAGCTTGCAGTGAAACTTGAATATCCTAACGGGATTAAACATAAAAGAAAGTTTTTTTTAAAAGTCTCTGGATTAGAATTTTAACAGAAGCCTACTGTGAGAAAGACCACACCACTGTCATTGACCTTTCTCTTCCTACACATGATCCCAGTTGTGCATAGTTGAGTATCCAAAGGAGAACCCATCAGTTCACGCTGTCTTTATCCTTTTGCTTCTGGAGCAAGTGTCTGGTTACTAAGAGAACAAGCATGGAAGCCATTGAACAATGACTATTAACAACCTCTGCCAGAATGTGTAATGTGCTCCGATACAGAAAGTGTAATGTAATTACAATATTTAGAGCTCTTAAAATATGTCTCCTATCAATAAATTATCATAAAGAAAAGACAAGTGTTTATTCAAGCAAATATGGATGAAGCAAAAAAGAAATGCAATACCATGGCAATACCTTAGGGCACCATTTTTACCTCTACTTCTCCTTAATTACTTTGTATCTGAAATGTTTGCTTTCAACATGCCTGAACAGAAAGGCTACTTTAAAATCACATGCTGCATCTTCACAATCCACATTAGAACCTCAAAAATGCTTTTAATCTCATTTTAACTTTTAGCTATTAAAGCCCTCCCTAGCTCTGAACAATTACATTCTGAATTTAATTAGGGGGAAAAAAAGCTTTTCACATATAACCATACAAATGCAGTTCATGCAAAAGGAACTTAAATAGCACTCTTCATTTTAAGCATTCCAGAACTCTCAACAGTGCTTCAATGGTATAGCACAAAGGCACATGCATACTAAAATAAAATCTTAACAATAGCATAAACTGTAAAATGGGAGAACATACAATAGCACAAATCCCCAGCCTGGAACAAGATATATGCTCAAGATTGGGACACATAAGTGGCTTTTCTCATCTTCACAGCCAATTCTCGTTTCCAAATATTATACGATATACCCCTCCTACTCCTGCTCTTCTGTTTTATTCTGATTCACTACATCAGGCCACCTTCAAATGTTGTGTGGCCTTATAGCTAATGACACAATTCTTAATCCTCTCCTGACAGTAATTTGCTACCTACCTTTATCACGTACAAAAGTTCTTTAATTCAAGCAAGTAGGATTTATGAAAATTGGCACTATTACACATCAAGAAAACTTTCACACTTTTCATAGCCTTTGTGCATTTCGACTCATTTAAAGACCACATACGTGGTTTTAGTTCCTGAACTAAAGAGTAACTACTGAAAAGACAACCTTGCCAGAATCAATTCTGGGTCCCTTTTCAGGAAAGATTAGGAAAATAACACATCTCCAAAAAGGAATATTAGGAACAATCCCTAACTGTAGAACAGACTAGCTACAAAGAAAAAGGCTTCATCAGACAATATGAAAAAAGATTATTTATATTCTGCCACCAATTGCTCATTCCTAAAGCCTCACTGGATTACATAAAAGCTCCAACAACATATGAATTCAAACTGTGTAAAACACTGGCCAGCATAATTTACCTTCATGGAAACACTGCATGGGTATCATGCTGCAGGTACATGATGTAAAGCAATGGATTAAATTAGACACATAGATGTTTAATTCAGTGAATATTTGGTTTTTGAATCTCTGAACATGCCAAGTTGAACTCTGGTTTCATATCAGAAACTCTCCCATAGGCCTAGATTTGATTTCAAATGCTCCTCTTCAACCTGAAGTGTTTCTAGAAGATCTTGCATTTGTTAAATATAAGAATAGGAGAAGATAATTTTTCCTCATTTCCACTGATTATTTTGTTTTTAATGACCCCATGGACTGAGTTAGTTACTGCCAATTACATAATTTCCCAGCAACACTGATAACCTCTCCCTGCTATTGTTGCAGCCCTTGCTGTTTATTTCTTCACAATATTTACTTTTAGTAACTTCCTTCTCTGCCCCAAAATCTAAAACATGTCAGCTCCCACTTTGATTACTGTAATGTACTATGTTGAGAAAAACTGGAGAAAAAGAATCAGGTGTACAAATATTGGTGTCAGTGGCGGCCCGTCCATAGGCGTGAACTAGGCGGTCGAGGGGTTTGGAGGCAGGGGCGCCAATTTAAATGGCCGTTGAGGGGTTTGGAGGCAGGGGCGCCAATCGCACATTTCGCCGAGGGCACCAGTTGCCAACAGCTCATCTAGGGCTGCTCCTAATTGGTGTAAGTCAAGAGGAAACAAAAAAGACAGAGTTGGGGGCCTCCTTCTAATCTCACTGAAACAGGTTCCATATTGGCTCTAGTTCATTTACTTTGGATTTACACCAGTGTAAGTGAGACCAGACCCAGACTATATACGTAAGTAAAGTGTATATTCAAAGAAAAAACAAACAGTACCTGCACAAAACCACACATCATATAGTCTTCAAACAAAGGCAGACTCGGGCGGTCTTCTCGATAGACAGTAATTTTATAGCTGCTCACAACCTCGGGGTCAGTTTGAGATTTATCAGTTACTAGAATAGTGATTTTATTAATTCCCAGGCCCAGGGGGTAGTTAGCAACACTGCAAAAGAAAACAAAAGAAAGTGATAGGCCCAATGTTAAATCAGACAAGATTTGAAAAGCACTTTCCACTGTAATTTAAATGGACCTCAGCCTCTAAGGTTTTTATTAGTAATGTTTTTTGTCCATGTTTCAGATGAATTATAGTGTAAAATATGTCTTGCAAAGGCATTTAAAAAATTCTTGCAATAAAGCAAAACTATGCCAGAAGCCATCTAAAAATGTGATGTTACTTTAGCTTGCAACTTCAACAGGAGAGCTTCAGAGTTGGGAACTCCCTAGCAGTAATGATAAGAAAATTGTGACTGATGCAACTAGGGCCAATAGTTTCTGACAGTTTCAAATCAGTAACAAAGTGAGGAGGGAGACAAAAGAGATTGGACATTTTAGTTAGCCGTTAAAATTGCGTTGAAACATGATGAAGCCCCAAATAAGGCATTCAACATGATAGACAAGAGCAACGCTGGACAGGCGTTTGCTCTGCAGTGAACTGCAAATGTCTGGAACTGACAGAAGTTGGACTTTTGGGCTACGTCTACACTGGCCCCTTCTTCGGAATAGCCATGCTAATTTAGAACTTTGGAATAGGGAAATGCGCGGGGGATTTAAATATCCCCCGCGGGATCTAAATAAACATGGCCGCCGCTTTTTTTCTGGCTTTGGAAAAAGGCACGATCCTCTGGAATAAAATGTTTCTTTGAAAGTAGGAATAAGAGATCCTCCGGAATAGGGCTTTATTCCGGAGGATCGCGCCTGTCTGGACGCTCTTTTCTGACTTTTCCCCAAGCTGGAAAAAAAGCAGCAGCCATGTTTATTTAGATCCCGCGGGGGATATTTAAATCCCCCGCGCATTTCCCTATTCCAAAGTTCTAAATTAGCATGGCTATTACGAAGAAGGGGCCAGTGTAGACACAGCCTCTTTGTATAGCATACACATTATTGTGTGTCTCAATCACTCCCTGCACACAACTCTGGGTTGTATTGTGCCATCTAGCCACAATGTAAAGTGAGTGGGGTTTGTGTTGGCTTTTTTATTTTAATGAGAAATCAAGAGTAACTTCTCTAATAGAAACCCAGGAAGAATATTAGCTTAAGAGGGGCCTACTGGAGATGCTGTCCCAGACCAGTTGTGGTCATTGGGGGTGTGTCTAGATTACATGGCTCCATCGACAGAGCCATGTAGATGAGTGTACTCAGCAAAGGGAAATGAAGCGGCGATTTAAATAATCGCCGCTTCATTTACATCAAAATGGCTGTCACGCTGTGCCAATCAGCTGATTGTTGGCACAGTACAGTAGTCTAGACGGGGATCAGCCAACCCCAGATCCCTTTGTGGTCAGATCCTGTAAGCCTTGTTTCATGCGCTATGCTGACAATCAGCTGATCGGAACAACGCGGCAGCCATTTTGATGTAAATGAAGCGGTAATTATTTAAATCACCGCTTCATTTCCCTTTGCTGAGTACACTCATCTACATGGCTCTGTCGATGGAGCCATGTAATCTAGACACACCCCCAATGACCACAACTGGTCTGGGACAGCATCTCCAGTAGGCCCCTCATGCTATGATAGAATGCTGGCTTTATAATGAATAGGACAGAAGGACTGTACCAAGCAAACCACTTATTGTTGCTGCTTCTCACAGCTTCTGGGTATACCATGAAAATCTTTTGTTTGATTATTGATGTGACCCAGCCCTGCATAGCTTATATACATCTCTGCATTATTGGGCCCTAAATACTTTACCAATTGTGCTTTCCTTCTGCACCTTTCCAAAGGCTGAGATCAAACAGGAGAATCTCAGTAACATTCTCCTCCAGATCTGACATGTGGGGATGAAAAAAGGACATTATCTTTGAAGAGCCTGGAATTCACTCCCTACCTTGCCCCCCTAATACAACGCTGTGATCCATACAGGCAGATTGCTGCCTTGAATGGAGTGCCACGCATGTCAGTGGATATCTGTAGTACCTAGCATGGATGACAGTGCAGAATCCGGGCCGTGGTTACTTACCCTTTAGTGTATGGGTTACCTGTCTGCTCGGACCATTAATGGCATGAGTAGTTTTATGTAGCAGCTGGCAGGAGAGTTTAAGGTTTCAGAGTTTTGTTAATGGGATTTTAATAGTAACTGAATAACGGGGTACATCTTTAACACACTGGAAAATAAATACAAATCTAAAGGAGTAAATGCCTGGGCATTCAAATCTCTTTTTGTAATCTTAATTCCTAGGCATTCTGTTCTCTTGGAAATGCAGAGGAAGCTATCAATCCTCTACTGTTTTTCCAATATTAAAAAACAGCTCTGTGCTTACAAGCTCATTCCCTTCTTCCCCTTCACATACCTTGGTCCTTTGCTCTCATCAAGGTGCACATGGCATTGACAGTTAGAGGGTTCTGCTCCAATCTTCACTGTCACAACATCAAATGGCACTTCAGTGTAGTACTCTTTGATCTTTGGATTAAATGTAGGGTTCAAGTCCAAAAGCGGGCTAGTGAAGATCTGCCTGATATGAGACAGGGTATCTTTATCTGTTCCAAGAAGGCATCAAAGAAAAAAAACGTGAAACATATGGACATTTTAAAATAACAAGTAACTGCTGGCAGCCTGTTAAATGATCATTGGTGAGATTCATTAGCCATGTTAAATCCGTTGCCTTAAAACACAAATGGATTTGGTTTTGGCACATGGGGTAAATTTTCAGACCTGTTCAGGGTTTTAATCATTCTCTGCACAATTTTAGTAAAAGTCTCAAAACTAATAGACTGAATAAGGCATTGAAAGTTTAAGGATTAAGGTCAGAAAATCCAGTCTCCAGTGGATTCACTGAAACTGAGTTTAATGACAGAAATTCAGAACCAATTTTGCTATGTACCAGCCTGTGTGCTGGGCTTATGTATATGTATATGTATAGATGCCAGGGAAAAAAAATCAATCTGTTGGAAACACCCTTATTGCTCATAAGAACTGATTATGTGGGTAACATATAGACTCTCAGCAGGGTAAATAATTTATAAAGAATCCTCGTTCAACAAACTGCATTTCTTTTTCAGTCTATAGACAATCCATTAAGCTCATTATTTTCTAACATACTCATTATTCTGCATTATCTGCTAAATGGTTCTGTAAAATATTATTTGCCTGTAGTGTGCCTCTGACCAGTTTTTTGCAACTATTTTAATCTGATCGGTTACAATCAGATTTCTGGCATGTTTACAAATTCAAAGTTTTCTTTTTCTGAATATTCTCTGATATTCAATAATAATTAGCTATGTCAGCAAGCATTCCAGCTAGTAAACTCTTTTCCTAAAGTAGCGGAGCAAATTTGGAATCTCAATACATGATTCAAAGTGGGTCTTAAACAGTTCATCGGATCCTGTGTGGGCCCTGTTCACGAGGGTGAATTTAACTCGAGAGTAACACAAAAAGGCCAAATTTATCTGTCAGGTACATTGTTGTAAACATAGTTATGCTGTTACCCCAGAGTAACACTGGTTTAACTGAGAGCAGAAAATGGCCAAATTCTCCAGAGAACAGGTTGTATTCAGAGCATACAGAATAGAGGGTTGAGAGAAAGTGTTGAAAGGATACAAGAAGCACACCTGATGCTTTGTGCCCTATGTAAAGCACAGATACTTTCAGGATGTATGCTTATTCCTTGGGAAGCCACTAGTATCTTTATGAATTAAAGCAGCTGGGAGGGAGGAGTTCCTTTCAAAGAAAAATCTTGCAAGAGAACAGAATCATTATGTCAGTCAGCCAGGATAGCTATGTTCTTGGCTTGGAACTTTGACATCTCCCTGACTGAGCTCCAAGCTTAGACTATGTCTAGATAACAGAGTTTTTCCTGGATACTAAAGGTATCCGGAAAAACTCCACCGCATCCAGGGAATGCATCTATTCTTCCAACATTTTTTGTGGAAGAGCAGACGCACTCTTTTGGAAGCCCTGTCTTCCTCTTGCCATGAGGAAGAAGGGCGCTTCCGAAAGAGGAGGTTTTTCCAAAATTTGGCCCAGTGTAGACGGGACAAATTTTGGACAAGCCTCTTCCAACAAAACTATAGGAAAAAGGTACGCAAATTGCGAAGTGGCATTTTGTCTCCCTCTCCCAGAATAGCTTCCATAGACAACAAAGCCTCAATTAGGGAGAAGGGAAAAGAGAACTGAACACTGTAAAGATGGTAGTAATGTTCTCATATGTGGAAGGCCCACTGCTCAAAATGAGCTCTCCATCCCCTGAGCAGCTCTACGGCACCCTAAGGCTTTCTTTTGTTTTGACCTGATATTCAGCAGACTGTATCTCTGAATAAGTCAAATGTCCTTGCAGCCTTGTGTGCACTGTGCTGGGCCTCATACAATTTCACTTGGATATACCCGTGAAGAGGTCCACCTGTACAATGATATATTTGTAGTTTGAATGGAATTCTGGATGGCTAATGGCAGTGAGGGATATGAAACAAGTACAAATTCAGGTTTAAAGAAAGAAAACTCTTGAGCTTCTATCTAACTTTATATTTAAGAATCTCATTCCCAATCACAAAAGAACTACAAATATTATATTACTTAACTTGATCAGGAAGGGTTCAGCACTGGTCTAACATCCTACATTATAGCTGAGCACCCAAGCATTCTCTGAACATAAGCTTATCTTTCTATGCCATTTTGGGTGTTGGCTGCACCCATAGGCTTAAAGCCTAATAAAAGAGATATTCATATCACTGCTGTTCTGTATGCAGAAGTATGTAATCTACTATAAAGCTTAAAAGGCCATTTCATAAGAACAACTGTATGCAAAAGGAGACACTATAACTGTCCTTGAAAAACTGCCGACATGACATTCAGTGATATAATCAAAAGGAAAACCAAAAGAATTTTCAGTTAAATGAATGTTAGAATATTAACATTAGAATGTAAACATAACAATGTCTAACTTTGTACTTGAGGCTTACTATGCATAGCCAACTCACTATTGATGGATTCATAAACATTATGGCTACCTAATAAACCTTGTTTCATTATTAACGGCCTAAATGCACTCCATTTCCTACAGACAGCTGCACAGACACTATATAAAATGTATTAAAGTAGTGCCACCTTTTGTATAAAGTTCACATATTCTATCAGTTCAGTACAAAGAAATAGATCTTAACTTACCATGACTGCATTCCCTTTCTTTAATCTCATTGGAAAAATGCAACTCTAAAGGACAAACAGAAACAAATAACTAAGGGTATGTCTACACTACAGCGTTATTTCGAAATATCTTATTTTAAAATAGTTAATTCAAAATAAGTTATTTCAAAATAATGCGTCTACACACAAAATGAATTTCATAATAGGGTTTTGCTATTTCGAAATAGCGCATCCACACTGAGTGGATGCTGAATCGCATTTAAGGCTGGCCGGAACCAGGTCCGGCAGGACATCAGGTCAGGAGTTAGCCTCAGGCAGCAGCCTGACCACCCTATTAGCAAGTTCGGTATGCATACATTACCCCGCTAGTTCGAACTAGCGGGGTAGTGTAGACATACCCTGAGGGATAGCAAAGCATTTTTTTTCTCTGCACACTCTGGTTGCCCTCATTTGGGACATCACAGCACTCTGCAACATGGAGACAGAGCTGCCCCTTGGTACTCTGGTTCTTCTCTTGGACATGTTGCTGTGAGCCTGGCTGCACTTTCTGCAGGCTGCCATCCGGGAGGTCCATCGGGGGGCTGTCAGTCTCCAGGAGGCCCTGCGGGAGAGCTTCCACCCTGAGGAGCACTAAGAGCCTCCCTGGTTTGCCCCACTGAGGGCTTGTGCCTCATTCCTCCCTCACATCCTTCCACTTACCCCTCCCTAACCCCCATTCCTTATGTCAAATAAAATACACATATTTTCATGAACACAAACTCTCTTTATTTAACAAAACTGGGGGGAGGGAATGAAACTCTGGTGAGACTGGGGAAAGGGGTAGGAGAGGAGAGGGGGAAACCTGGGAGGAGGGAGCTGGAAGGGGGAAGCAAGGGGAAGAAGTGGGAGGGGAAGCTCAGGGATCAGGGTTGCGGGTCTCGCCAAACCAACTTGATTTTCATGCAAACCTGCTCCTGGGTTCGCATGTGGCCTTTGGTGGCCAGGCTGGCAGCTATCCTGCCATAGACGGCTGCGTCCTCTGTCTAGTGCGCAGATCATGGATGTTGAGGGCATCCCCCCAAACCTGAATAAGGTCCATGATCTCCACCCTGGACCAGGAAGGTGTCCGCTGGCTCATGTTTTTGGGGCCACTGGGTCAGGGGCAGTGATTGCTGGCTCTGGGCTGGCAGGCTTGGAGCTGGCACAAGCACTGTGGCCAGAGTCAACCCCTTTAAGGGCTCCGTGGAGGAGGGAGCGAGAGGAGTGTTCTTGGTTGAGGCTGGAGTAGCCACCAGAGCACCCTGGGAAGGCTGGAGGCCCCCTATTTCAAAATAAGTGTCTACACAGCACTTATTTTGAAATAGCTATTTTGAATTTGGCGTTATTCCTCATGGAATGAAGTTTACCAAATTTGAAATAAGTGCTCCACTATTTCTAATTAATTTCAAAATAATAGTTTGGCTGCGTAGACATACCCTAAGTTCTGCTGTACACATTACATTGCCATTCTTATTTGCAGACCAGAAAGAAAACAACTCCCTCCCCCAACTACCCCAACAGAATTATACAAATAAAAGGTGACACTTGTATTCATTTCAATTTGGGTCATACGCTGCCTGCTCTACTCCCACTGGAGCCCATGAAACAACTTGTGTGAGTTAGTCAGACAGAATTTGGCTTTTTATGTTTAGTAAATGAGCCACAACTTTCTAACTGGAAAGCATGAATATGAGAAATACATCAGTTCATCAGAACCACAGACATTCCCAGATTTTTGGAACAAACAAGAAAAGCATGTGGTATGTAACAAGAAAACCAGTCTGATGTCCTACCTTTCTGGTTTTTCACTACGTTGAAAGGAGCTCTTTGTTTAACACCTTCTTTTTCTGGGAAAGAATTCCTATCAATGCAATAGTAGAGATGTTTCCAAATCAATGAGAGGAACAGAATCCATAGAAAACACCTTTTAAAAATTCCTGTCTCCTTGGCATGGTATTGGAGTTTTGTTTTTTTTTACCAGAAAGATGCACCTTTTGCACTCTCATTCCCAATACCAGCAATCTTACCTATAATGAGCATAATGGAAAATTCACAGCCCATAGTAAGCAATAGCTCATAGGAGAAAAGTAGAAAAGAAAATCAGGAAAGTAGCTTAAGAAGGAGGGAAATCTGGGACAGGAGGGGGTTCCCCAGAACAAAAGACTTCAAATTGCTCACACATCACATTTTTATCCATTTTTAATGTGCAATTCAGGTTACAATATGTACAAAAACAATTTCTTAAAAGCAAGTGAAGACTTGAGTTAAGTGGCACATGCTGGATTTAGGTTAGTATGGCTCTCTATATTGGAATTAAGTAGACAAAAGTAATATTAAATTATGTACTTGCTAATCCAAATCCAAATAATACACCTAAAACTGGGATTCATACATCATCTTCTTTCATCAAATGAAGACTAGCTAGCTGCAACTACTCAGGAATGTGTCAAACTCCAAATTAGTTAATTCAGCAGATTTCCTCCTACACTAACTCAAATCCATTTTTGGACACTACTGGAGGCTGACAAAGTAGTACAGGCTCTTCCCTATAAACACTGTATTAGACTGACAGTGAGAAATGACAGATGCAGAGCTCCAAAAGGGCTCCTTGGAGGACTCAGGTTTTCCCTCCAAACATTCCCTTTAAATCCTCTTGAAGAATTACATTCTCAGAGAAACCTATTGTTAATCAGTTTATGATTTTAAAAGGCATAAATCCATATCCTGTGTGTATGAGGGGAGCAGTAAAATCGTACTTTGTGGCCAACCACCACAAATGTTTTAATGAAACTTGCAAAAAGGACCTTTAAAATGAATCATAGCCACTCCCACACTAGAACAGAGAATTCAAGATTATACCAGTGTGAACAGAAAAGTGGCAACTAATTTCCCTACTGCTGGCACTTAGCAAGGCTGCATGGCATGTGTGTGTGTCTCTTCTCCAGAAACTGCTCTACAGTTGTGTACATTCATAGGCTTCTTCAGAGATGCTGTTTACAGATGTAATGATAGGCATTACAAGTTCACTATTTGCTCATTCTCACCTAACCTTTGACCATTTCATAATGGGCCTAGATGAGTTTCTGGAACTCTTCTTGATTTTCCCGTGGAAAAAGTGCAGAGAATTCACTAGGGATGTTAAAACTGTAAATAACAATTTAGCTGGAAATGTGGATGAGTAATGTTGACCAGTAAACTCCTTTGAGTAGGGTCTCCATCCTCCGAGTTCATAAGCAGCAAGTCTAAATCAAATGGAAATTTTTCAGTGGGCCTTTTTAACTACCCATTTATACATCCATGAGGAATATAAAGTCACGCAACTGCCATTTTGTACATGAAATAACAGATCTTGCATATGCCAATAAGTGGGAACAGTTAAGGAAAGAAGACCCATTAAACTCAGGCCAAAATCTGCAAAAGTCAGGATAACAGTCTTGATAAATACAAATAATCAAATCTATGAACCTCACAAAAGCTTAACATTTAAACAAAGAGCTTAAGGAGGCTGTCTTGGGATGAAGCTTTCCTCACTTTTTTTCAGTTTACTAACATCCATAACCACACATATAGCAAGTATATTTACACTGACAAAAAAAAAGTGTGTTCCTTAATCTAATGTGTACGGGAGTCTGGGATTGAACTGAAGATGCTAACCCAAGTTAAAAACCAAGCTGCCATGTCCTCTCTGCTATTTTAAACATAGTTAAGAACTCTTTTTTTTTTTTTACAAGGTAGACATACCCACAGATCGCACGGGTGTTGGACAGTTGAGTAAGTCCAACAATGAGGGACAAAATCCATGGTTATTGTGAAAACATTTTTTTCATTAGAAAATGGAAAATTGTCATAACTGAAACATGGCATAGAAACAAACTGGTTTCAAATAAAATTTCATTGGGATGGTTTCTCAGGGTGAAGATAGAATTTCTGTTAAGAGAAAGAGCCCTGGTACATTGCCTCAGCATGAGGGCACTCCTTGGAAGGCAGGAGGTCCTAAATCAAGTCTCCAATACAACTGTTCCTAAATCAAGTCTCTACCAGATTTGGTTCATCTGTCTGTCTCTCTCTTTCTCTTTCTGATTTTTGATGAACATTTTTGAAAAAAGTTGGTTTTGTTCCACATCCGAATGGAACCAAATGTTGAAGCTTCAATTGATTGATTGATTGTGAAACAGAAATCTTTACTGACCAACTCTTTTTGCCGCTTCTAAAATACCAACCTGGATTCAATGAGCTAAAGAAATAGCTCTATAAGATTAGGCATTAGAGTTTACAACTGTAGGAATAGGCAGGCTGACCCATGCCACATAATAGCAGGTAACAGCATACTTACAAAAATGTCCAACTAGAAGAAAAAAATTAATTAGGGGATTTGCTCAGTGCAAGTGAATGGTACAACCTGGACTAGAACTGTAAGCATTTAAGGTTGTTGTTCTTTGATATGCAAGGATAAATATTTGGGCAAACTGGCAAGAGATTATTTCTGAATGTAAGCAGCTGCATCTTTGAATTGCAGTCCATGAATTAGCTAGCAATAACAGTAATCCTTAGCATTTATATAGTACTGTACTATGTCAAAGCACCATGAAAGCATTAATTACCCCATATGGTAGGGAAGAATTAATCCCCATTTTACAGAGGAGCAATTTGAGACCCAGAATGTAATAGACTTGCAGAAAGCTAGTCATGGATGACTTGAATGAATCAGTTGCAGAATCAGAATTAGAATTTAGGAATCCCTACAATATGACACCTCTGCAGACAAAATTTCCCAACTAGGCAGAAATATCATACTAGTTTTGTTTGCACAATTACCCTGAAAACTTGTTGGATGAAATAAAACTGAAATGGGGCTTCTAACTAATTCACAATGGATACAATGCATGCACCTCACCAGGAGGAGAGTTGTATACTTGCATTCAATGTCATTAGCAAGGAAAAATTGAGTATGGAAAATAAATACGATTTTCTTCAACTTTAGAGGAAGTCTATATAGGACCAAAATTACAATAATAATACTATTGATCTTTCCAGCCAGAAAACTTTGTTAAAGTGATGTTAAACTGGAAATTAGACATCATCAACTAAGGAGAGTGGTAGGAATCCAAAGAAGGATCCATACAAAAGCCTACATCTGTCAATTAATCATAGTTAATACCTGTCATAAACAAAGTAAAATTAATACAATATTTTAATGTGTTAATCACCTAGCTTAGGCAGGTGAGGAGGGGGAGGGAAAGTGAAGAAGCCCCAGATTGTGGCTTCCCAGGTGGCAGGAAGTTGGGGGAGGCTGGCACCTCATGGCTCAAACCCCAAGAGTGCCTGGAGCCCTGAGGCCCACATCATGCTCCGCCAGGCCCCACTGAAGCCCCAAACCCAGAGAGGGGCTGAAGTCTCACACACCAAGCAGAGTTGAAGCCCAGAACCCCCAGCCTTGTAATCTAGAAACCCCCAAAATAGTTAAATGAAGGGTATTATAATACTGTTTAACAGTACAATTAAAATGTCAATTAATTATGGTTAATTTTTAAAATTGCTTGACAGCCATACAAATCCCCAAGCCTTTGATACATTTTCTAAATGTGATGTACATCTCTATTTTTTAATGAATCTTAGTTCACCAAACCTTGTCTATAAATAATTGGTTTCAATTTTGATTGAAAAAATTATCCTTTTTCCATTGACAAACAATTGGCTTACATTTTAAAGTCTGTTTCCACCATATGGGAAAGATTGAAGTCTTATCTTTATTTATTTATTTCAAGTGAAAGCTTAAGTCTGCAACAGTCATGACCACTGCCCTTAATTTAAACCCTTCACAGCTGATGTGCTATTCTGATAATATTATTTCAAATCTTAATAACTTTAAAAGTGAGAGTTGCTTTTAGAATTAGATTTTCCAAGGCTGGGTGCCAATTAAGGGGTCTCAAGCGGGGCATGCAAAAACTGTGACAAATCAAAATCACCTCTGAAAATCTTGGCTCAAGTTTTTATCTCCTGCCTTCTTCGTTGGGTTCAAAGTTGAGAGCAAGGAGAGGGAGATTTTTTGAGCTCAAGTAAACATCCCTATTTTCAAAGCATAGTAATCCAGAAAATACTTGTCTAAATTATGTCAAAACTGCTCGAAAAATTCTCTCACCCCACATTAACTTTGCCACCAATAATCTTGTGTGTGTAAGAAGGGGGAAAACAGGGTCCAAAACTAGATTTATCTGGAAATTCAGTTCAACTGTAACAATGGAATACCTCCCAACACACCATAAGAAGAAATGTTGGGTTAGTGCCTTGGCTGGTATTAATTGGCATAGCCCCTTTCTGAAGTCAATGGAGCTAGACCAGTTTCCACCAGACGAGGATCTGGCCCTAGAAGGATTATCTAATAATCATCTTACCATCCTGAGAGATTTGGATGTGCCTCTTTATTCATGAACTGGAACTGCTCAAGTAAATTGGAAAGAAACCGATGTACTGTCAGGAATGACCCAAGCTTTCCCATTGGGTCTACCAGGTGATAAACATCATGCAACAAAGTTTGGATCTTGGGTGCAGAAGATGGGAAAAGCTGAGAAGAGAGAAAGTCAATTAAGATCAGTTTATTAAAGACAAAAAGATTCTCTCAGATTTTTTCTGTATGCCTCTTTGATTAAATCACAAAGTAGCATCTGGTCCTGCAAACTGTTCCAATAGGCAAAACGCATGTTTTATTTGTAAAAAATAACAAGGAAGATAAGAAATATTAGGAACAGATTATGCCTGTTTAATAGAGTCTCCTAGCATTCATATTAAGATACATTCCTAAAGATATGGTAATTATCATGGGCCCAGTCTTACAAAACCATGCTTACCCCTCAACCTGCATGGATCATTTGTTAAGTTCATGATGTTATTTCTATAAACTTCATCCTTTCCCATCCCATCCTCTTTCACTGTTTCCTACCCCACTGCATCACATCATTGCAGAATATCTAAAGCGTAGGCTTTGATACTGCAGTTACACATGTACTAAATTTTAGGCACCTGACAGCATCCTTCTTAAAAATTAAAAACTTGTGGTATACTACAATTCTGTTCTGTCATATCTTTATTAAATAAATTATGATTTATGATATCTTAAAGAAAAAGTACCTGGGTTCTGACCATTTTATATATATTTCAAATAAGAACATAAAGCCATAATAATTTTAAAGATTTAAAATGTAGAAACACTTTCCTCTTAAATAACTTCAGCAGCACTGGCTTACAGTTGACCCACTATATCCACCCTAATGACATCACACAAAAGGAAATTGCACAGTACCGAAACAAACACAATAGTAGTGTTTACATTACCAGCTCATATTGTCCCATATTCTTCAGTTCTTTTATAAAATTAATCATTGAATTGATCTCTTCTAAAGACAGGCATTGCTCATATTCCTTCTTGTCATTTTCATCCTGCAAAAGAAAGAACTGCAGTAGCTGGTGCCTAGTAACTTATGTCTACACTGCAACTGGATGAGTGATTGCAGCTCATATGGGCAAACCCAAGCTAGCTTTGATCTAGCTAGTGCAGCTACAAATAGTAGTGAAGACACAATGACATTCAGTGCAAAATCTAAGGGTACGTCTAGACTACATGCCTCTGTCGCCATGCCTCCTGGGATGAGGTATACCCGGGTGGTCGACAGATGCCTTTGATGTCGACACCCGCGCGTCCAGACTACAGCGCTGAGCCGACAAACAGCTGATCAGCTGTTTGTCGGCTCAGCGCTGTAGTCTGGACGCGCGGGTGTCGACATCAAAGGCATCTGTCGACCACCCGGGTATACCTCATCCCAGGAGGCATGGCGACAGAGGCATGTAGTCTAGACGTACCCTAAAAGTCCACCTGGGAATCTGAGTATGTGTCCCTACCATCTATGCCACACATCTTCATTGCAATTTTTAGAGGTTCCAGCTAGACTAATTTTAGGAAGGGTATTCCTATATGAGCAGCAATCACATATCCAATTGCAGTGCAGACCTAACCCTGAGAATGAGTGATATCCGCTTGTTCAAAACATAGGAGAATAAGATTGCTGTCATAACAGGGAAGGTGTTTCTGATCATCCTACTGAAATGCCTGAAATATGGCTTGAGACAACTTCTGTGGTTTCTGTATAGCTCAATCTACAGTCTATGCCACGCATTCTCTGACTAGAACAACCAATAACAATAAATAGTCTTGCAGCACCATAGAGACTGACAAAATATTGATGGCATCATGGGCTTTCGTGGGCACAATCTGAAGAAGTGGGTTGTGCCCATGAGAGCTCATGATACCATCTATATGTTTTGTTTGTCTCTAAGGTGCTGCGAGACTATTTGTTGTTTTTTAAATGTTTCCAGTTACAGACTAACATGGCTACCCCTCTGAAACTTCCTTTTGTTGTTCTTAAGTTAACAGCCAATGTACAGACTTTATAGCTATTTTTGCCACAGTGCAGCCATCAGCACTGTGGATACTGCTACAGCAGTAGGGTGTGCACGAGGCTATACATTTAGCTGTGGGTCAATGGCTTCCAATTACAGATGGCTTCCAATGGATTCAGGTGTAAGTCAAGGATGAATTCTCTTGCTTATATTATTTAATGTTCTAATGGATGATCTGATAAACTGATTGAGATCAAAGTAGGAGGTGAGAGGTTTAAAGATTTGTCTTTAGACTATCTTGATTATGTGGATGATATTGCCTTACTTGGAGGAACTATTGACCAACTACTACTGATGCTGAAAGAACTCTGACATCTATGAGATGTAAGATCCATGTGCGGCTGGTATACTAGGTGGGGGGAAGGCATTGCCTTCCCAAACTGCCAGCCTGGCTGCACCCACACTCTGCCCCCAGGACACCTACTGTATGCATACTGGGGGCGGAGTGTTGCTGCCCCCCAGCACCGGCCCTCTCTGTGCTCTGGGGAGACTGGGGCCACAAGCTGCCCAGCCTCCTTGTGCTCCAGGGCTGGAGAGGATGGGGCTGTGTGCTCTCCTCCCTCCCCATGCTGGGGGCAGAGGGTGGCACACTGCCCTGCCTCCCTGTGGTGTGGGGAAGGGGCCTCAGCAGAAGGGGTGGGAATGGAGGTTTGCCTCCCCCAGGCCTACCTTCATCTGCCATAAGATCAATGATGATGAAACCAAAGCTAGGTAAGCCTTCTATAAAATGGAAACAAATAACCTCTTAACATTGTATGTATATGGCACTGACACTGAATGGGTGAATAGTATCATTTATCTGGGTAGCTGGTTGACAGCAGAAGGTTCTAAATCTCAAGTCACATATCAGCTCAATCTTGCACCAGCAGCACCTTATATTTTAGGTAGTGGGATGCCTGTGTGACAACTAAAACAAGAGTGTTCAATGTAGAAGTGATGAACAATTTTTTTTTATATGGAGCAGAAACATGGCCAATAAAGCCCTCTCAGGAGAGAGAAGAAGAGTTTTCAGCATCAAAACTTAAGGTATATTTTTAACATCTGGTGGTTTGAATTTATCATAAATAAGGAGATACTTAGATAATCCTGATAAATTGTAGTCTTGCACCAGTTGAGAACAAAACAACTGCAGTGTTGGCGTAATGACCAGTGTAGAGAAGAAGGTAAACTTTTATGGAAGATTTAAAAAGCTAAGGCTGAAGGAAGCTGAGCATGCAGTCAACAGTGAATCATGTTGAAAGATGCAATTTTGAGGAATTTAAGAAATCAGAATCCTCCTATACTAATTCTTTCTGAAAGAACTTGACTCCCAAGGGATCCTTCAACATGGTAGTCTATGCTACACACCCACATCCCATCACAATTATATCATAGTCATGTGACTATGCTGCTACTGTATACCATAGATGGAGACCAATGTGGCTTGGCTATATTCAGCTGGTACGTAGTCCTTTGGGCACCATATTCAGCTGGTGAAAGTTAGAGCAGTCCCCTAGCTACTCTAACCTGATCCAGGGGTGGGGCAGGGAATATGGGAGACCAAACAAGCTCCCTGGCAGTTCTTCCTTCTTCCAGGTTTGCTGTGTTCAATGTTTGGTGTAAGACTGGATCTGGTGAGAGATAATTAGTACAAAGGGGCAAGTGAAATATTTGCGGAGAAATATGATGCACTGAAATGTGGCAATTTTTGCGTTATATAGGTAATCTGAAATCAGTTCTGTATTCATAAACATTTCACAGAAACTGTATAATGAAAACTGACTTTTTCAGGGAAACTGGTCCCAACATTAAGCTAAACTGGTTATATTTGAAAATACACAGAATGTCACAAAACTGCAGTTTTGAAAATGAACAGTTGAAGATAGAAAATGGAAGAAAAAAAAAAGGGAAATTCGTCATATATCACAAAACTGCAGTTTTGAAAATGAACAGTTGAAGGTAGAAAATGGAAGGAAAAAAAGGGAAATTCATCATATGTTTTTAACAGTTGCATACAACTCTGACTTGCAGCAACCAGTTCTATTGAACAAATATTTCATGGTGTATTATAAAAAGACCCTCACAAATAAAAGGTCATAATTTAGAATTAAATATTTTCAGTTAATTTGTAATAAGAAAAATGTTTATGAAACCCACTCTCACCTTAATCACAGCTAATCTGTAAATGTTCTGTAAAGCCTCAAAGAAACTGGAAGTTGAAGATGTATTAGATAAGAGAAACTTGAAAGTATCCTCCAGAAGGAATCGTTTTACAGTTTGGTCCTCAAGATTCAAGTCATCATCAACTTGAAAGTCAAAGTGTTCATGCACCTTGAAAGAAAAAAAAAAGAAAATAATTAACTTACAGATGTTCATGCACCTTGAAAGAAAAAAAAAGCAAAGAATTAACTTACAGCTTTTATGTAAAACCCAGTGCTCCCAGATACATACAGGTTGGATTTATTTATTCAAAGGAATCATAAAGGGTATGAATAAAAAAGGAATAAAATTCCTGCAGATGATAAACAAATAAAGCAGTAGTATTTTACTTACATGTACTACTTATACAATAAACAGAACTGTAACACAGCAGTTATACTTCATTTTCTGTAATAATTACACATCACAGTGTTTGCTGACCCCTAGTGCACTGAGACGAGCATAGCATTATCATATATAGTAATGTGTGTTTTTGCAGCCTATTTTTTAAAATGTTCAGTCTTTTTATATGTTAAAAAATTAAAAAGTGAAAACTGCTAAGGGATAATGTCATTCACAAAATTTAAATTGTAATGCTTAGTTAAGAGCATTTCGGGTAGGCTTTCAATAGTTAAGGATATACATTTTACACTAGACACATAGTACAATCACATAATTTCTATTAATCATAAATAAATTCTTTTTTATGACCCAATACAACAGCAACTTACATCTATTGGGGTTTATATATAATATCACTCGTGGGGGAATTCTGCCTCATTATGCATGCACAGAATTCATTTACCCCACAGATTGCTTTGCTTCCCCACAGAAAAATTACTTCTGATGTGGAAGAAAAGGGAAGATGCCAGAGTGGCGATGAACCTCTCTCCAGTCGCACACCCAGTTGGTTAGAACATCCAGAACGGTCCGTACAGATATGTGTCACTGCTAGGGAGTGGAGGGCTGGGCACTCATTCGTGTGAGAAAAAGAGACTCTCTGTCCCCTTCGCTTCCTCTACTCATTCGTGTGAGAAAAAGAGACTCTCTGTCCCCCTCGCTTCCTCTTGCAGCATACTGAGGGTATGTCTACACTACAAAGTTAATTCGAACTAACAGCCATTAATTCAAATTAACTTTCATAGGGGCTACACATACAAAACTCTAGTTCGAATTTAAAGCGAACTAGCGGAGCGCTTAATTCAAACTAGGTAAACCTCATTCTACGAGGACTAACGCCTAGTTCAAATTAAGTAGTTCGAATTAAGGGCTGTGTAGCCACTTAATTC